TTGATGCTGACCCTTTTACGCGTTTCCGTTTGTTTACGTTCTCGTACGTTTTCATCTCCGCTCTTTGCGACACGCTGTGTAGAAATTTTTCTGTACTTGTAAATCGCATTTTTACCGTAACTGGAATACTGAAAATTTTTGCATTACGTGATAATGCCTCCAGTTGCGGAAGCAGAAACGTCCGATTAAAATTAGTAAAATCATCCTGCTTAAAGTAGTCCTAAGTTGATAAGACATTCTCTTCCTTGTACGCTGTCCTGTTCGTGTGTCTAACCTAATTAGCAGTTGCATGTGGTGAAACCAGGATGAAAAGCAGGCAGAAGAAAGCCGACGCTTTTTCGCTCGTTAGAGAGGCTGCTGCTGTGCTGTATAAGTAAATGAATTGGTGAGGGGGGGGGCGGTTTAAGTGCCTCAGGATAAAGCAGACGAATGAGGGTAGGCGGGATATGAAAGTAATTACATGAGTAAGTAAAGTGAGCGCAGTAATGATGGAGCCAAACCAATCTGTGGTTATGAGGAAGCTCCCACATTAGTGTAGAGCTATTTATCTTTAAGTTTATATGCGCCCATTTACCCTCATTATCATTTTGATTGCTGAACATGGTCCGAAAGATTGTGATCCTTGATGGTGGGGAAGAAAAGCAAATTTTCTTCACGAAGATGTTAGTGTGACGATGCTAGATGAGAAAACCACATTGGTTCACTCCAGATCTCCAGTATGTAAGATTATAATCGCGATATTATGGAGTGTGGTCTGAATAAGAGAAGAGAAAGATTCTGCTGACAATGAGGGCTCTATTTGCGTAGTCACTTGGCAGTGACAAAGGAGCAGGTCGAGTTCTCTGTGTCTGTAGTGTTTAGCACCTATCATTGTAACTCATTGAAACGTAATCAGCCAAACTAATTTGATTGGCTGAGGCTTAGTACTTTCTGTAGGTTTTGAGCTGGAAACCTACAGGAAGAGCAGGCTGTGAAAATGAGTAAAAGATGAGGGATAATGAATGAAGAACAAAGAAGCGAACGAATTAATGAGTAATGAACGAATGGAATAATAATGAACACACAGCTGGATGAAGATTGACTGTATGGACAAGTGAATGACATACTTGTGTCACTTCTTCAAATTTTCACGGCATGCCCACAAGGCGTTCCTTTACGTTTAGGAGACCCTGTAGACAGGCCATGAATAGAACCTGATGTGCATGGATGCAAAACCTTATGACTGTGTTGTGTCGAATGATAATCTGTTCATACACTAACTAAAATATACTACATAAATACGGCGAAGTAAATTGCGATGTTATTCCAGCTGGCGGTATCAAAAATTGGCTTTCTTAGTAAATCCAATATATCGTTTATATTTTTCACCCTAATGAATAACGCAGGAACGAATTAATGAGCGAATGATCATATTTTACTATTTTTACAATTATCACGGCATTTCTACCTTTGAAATTTTAATTTCTTGTTCCTTCCGCTTGAGT